GGAGAGACAAAATAGCATGTGGGAGTTTTCGTTGTAAACAAGTCAACCTCTTTCTGTTAACCCGGAAGTAGTTGTTTTCAAAGGTCAAAGTTGATAGTCACAAAAGGATTTCAATGTGAATGTGAGATGACTTGAAGTATAATTAATTAATTATTTATATAAATTGGTGATTTTAAAAAGGGGTTGATTTACAATGTCTTTGCGTTTGTCCTATTATACGAATATTATTAAGTTCACTAAAAAGTGGGTCATGCTATGAAAATAAAATGTTGGTGCTTCAATAATTAATAATTAGACTAGAATCTAGATCAAGATCTAGATCTAGTGTTAAAATTCCCACAACAGCCGTTCTCTCTCTCTCTCTCTCTCTCTCTCTCTCTCTCTCTCTCTCTCTCTCTCTCTCTCTCTCTCCTTTTGTTTCCTTTTGAACATTTAATAACACACCATTCTTAATTTTAAGTTCTTTCGCATGGATTATACTTCAAATTCAAATGCTACGAGTATTAACATCTTATTTTTCATCGGTGGCAGATGGCGTAACACGTGTAAATGAAGGTGGTTCAAAGTTTTAAGCTTTTATACCGTCAACTACGGAAGAGTTGATGTCATCGGGGGAGCGAAAAAAAAAAACTCATCCGAAGTTCAACTTTACCATTACCATTGGGACATGATAAGAAGTGCAGGGCTGGGGCCCGAGAAAAGGATCACCTTAGAACTTAGTCGAAAAATAACCCTAACGATTTCAACACCAGCGGGGTCGACTGTATATAACCACTCTAAAATTCTAAAATCGCAAGTTGGCAGTCTTGATTACCTCTTGATCAAGATAAGGTTTTTCTTTTTTTTCGGGGGGGGGGGGGGGGTTATTATTATTATACTCAATTAACAACATTCTCCCCACATGGAAATCAAACTCTGGTCTTCTGCATTTCTCACCGCTACACCACGGATGCTGGTCTGTCAAACCAAAGACACACAAGAAATCTTACACTTACAATACATTTGACTGGATCATGCATGTACACTTACACATTCCCATTGTCGTAGACATAATTTACACCAGTGTGTTTTCCAACCAAGGCGATGTCATCCACTAGTGTAAGCCATCACATGGTGTAAATGTCACACCGTAAACTTCACACTTTGTAAGGTTTTCTCCTGCTGTCTTCTTTTACGATCCCATAGACTGCTTCTTTAACTTTGAGGGAAACATTACAATAATTACATAACACGCTTCACATCTGAAACTGTAAATTGTAAGGCTTTTCACTCATGTGTGCTTTTTTGGTCTCTGTAGGTTACCTCTCCTGGAAAATATTAACCCACAAACTTCACATTTGTAAGGGTTTTCTCCTGTGTGTGTTCTTTTGTGTCTGTAGGTTGCAATTCTTTGCAAATGATTAACCACAAACCTCAAACTTGTTGTTAGGTTTTTTCTCCTGTGTGTGTTCTTTTGTGTTTCTGAAAGTTGCTTTTCAAGTAAATGATTAACCAAAAGGGTCTAAATTACGGGCAAAGCCGCTTTTCTTTAGCGGCAGTTTCACGGGACTTTATAAACAACCTGTACTGGCTGTAGGATTCATATATTATATAGATTCTATTATATTGGGACTATTTATTGGTGACCACTCCAACGTTAATTTAGATTTGGTTTTCCAAGAATTGTCTAGTCATTGGCCCTGTGAGAAAATGCCTTGCTAAGCATGGAGATGTCTACTAGAATTACACCATGACGAAAATTATAACGGTAAGTTCCAGAACTTGCGCGGTGTAGTCCACTAAACCAAGCCATCCGGTGATTCTCACGAGGGCGGCTTTGTTCATTCCTGGTCATTCCACCAATACCTAATACCATCCAATTCCAAACCATGGCAGTTTAGGGACCTCTGTTCCTCACTGACTGACAGAAGATTAAGATTATAACCAAAATCTAACACGGCCCATGACATGTGCAAAAGAGGTTTCGTGCTCGATAAGAAACCAACAGCTCCTGAACAAAATCAAAATTTAAAAACTACATGTAATGAACACATTGTAACTGACTGTTAAGTCCAGGTTTTGTGAGATTCGTAACTTTTTTTTTTTTGGTAAAGTGTTTTACGGCGCTCGCAAGCGGCATAAGGTCATATGAGCGCGCGGGTCACACCTAATATTTTCAGTTGGTAGGAAATTTTGAATTTTGCCCGGGTGGCGGCCGAAACTCGATTTTAGACCACCAAGGGATCTTCAACGTGCACAATTTGCACACGGGCCTTCCGAGATTTTTCGCCCTTGTCCGAGAAGGCTAGGTGTAGATCTTCCCTACCAGAAGATCAGGGGTGAGGCAGAAAGACAGACTGTCTGTGTAAGGAGGAGCCAAGCAGTAGCAGTAGAAAGGCTGCAGAAAGAGTCAGGAGCCCAGAGGAGTGGGCAAAGGAGGTGAGGGGGTGGGGGCAGAAAGTGGAAATGAAAGCAGACAACAGAACATTGCTAGAGAGCAGGAAAGGAGGTGAAATGAGAC